CCTCCAGTAGCTCCATGATGGCTTCGACCTGCAAGACAGACCGTTAAGCCAGTGTGTCATCGTTGTGGGGGTTATTTCTGATGACTGGTAGGTACATTAGTGAAAGTAAAAAAAAAAAATCGAAGTTAGTGAGAGTATCTAGACTTCGAAGATTACACATTTCAACAGCTGTACGAAGGTATCCGAATTCTTTACGAAGTGGAATTCCTTTTCTGGATGTTCTGGTCATCAGACAAGGGAAGGCACTGGCCACTACATTTTAAAAAATTTACACTTAAAATGGTCCATGTCTCAATTTCAAACCGACCAGGATATGAAGCTGACCCTTTATCTCCATGTAATGCTCAGCATAAAAATGTTAGAGCTATCCCTCCAGTCCCCAATAAGTTTTCATACCGAGGTGATTAGACACAGGGACAACTTTACCTTGCATTCATTTCTCGAATGCTTTGTTTTACGGCGCCGTCAGTATCGCAGAGCATATGGCCTTCTGTTCCATTGATATAGAAAACATATGTACTAAAAAAACTCGGTGGCTTTAGTCCGCAAGCGAACTATACCGACGGAGCGACCGCCGCTTGTCGGCGGAGTTAGTGGCAACTTTAGCGGATAGAGGGTGTCGCGTGGTCTGCACAGCGAATCCTCACGGCAGTTAATTTCGGTTTTTTCTAGACCGGAGAACATGTATACTAACATATCAAAAAATCGACCTTATAAAGTTAATAAGCGATATATTAGAAAATAACCAAGAAAATTACAGGACTGTACAAAAAGAAACATTACACATATTATAAATAGTGATGGAACAAAATTGCTTTCAAGTTGACCAGGAGTACTACAAACAAATGTTAAGTTTTTGGACATTATCCATCGTGTTGTCTTTATTTAAAAATCGTCCTGTTTATTTTTCAAAACAACGTTTCGGAGACTGGATTCTGTCTCCATCTTCAGGTAAAATCTACTCGGTTGGGCCCAATCAATAGAGCTAGTCCGTATCCCCGTATTTAGTTACATAATTTATCTCTATTCATGAAGGCATATGGAAAGTGGAAGTACCACTGTGCTTGACCTCGGCACTAGATGGATTTGAGTGGCCAGCTTCACGCTTCTGCCGCTCTGCCCCCCCCCCATACCCAATGTATAGAAGGCTTTGCGAGCTCCAGGGCCGGGCTGGACACTACGGGGAAGAGAAAAACTATTGCCCCACGAGAATTGATCCCCGGTTTTCCAGCTAGTAGCCTAGTCCCTATACCGACTGAGCTGTCCTAGCTCCTATTTTACCAATAGCAAATCAAGAGAATGAGGGAAACCCCTATGGAGACGTCCATATTGAGAACAGAAGGATGTACAGTATTAAGATGGATGGTGGCAAAATGGCTTGTGAACATATTAACTCAGAAATGTGTCCAAAGGCGGGGTTTGGTGTTAGTGGTGATGAAACTTCTGTTCTTCTACTCTGGAGATGGTAGCTAGGTAGTCAATTAATTAGCTCATTACTTAGTTAGCTGCAAGATCTGAAATCTTTACGGTGGTTAAATTTGATAAAAACTTCTCGGGCTGTCAGCCGGTCACGGTCGATAAAGTGAGAGCATTTTACTACTTAGGTTGTTAATTTTATTTGTCTCATTCTGGTCCGTCACACTATTAATTACAAAGTGGATAATTTTCAGTCCAGTGTGACATACAAGTTTACAACACTTCAGTCTTTATTCACCTTACATGTTTCGATTCAAAAGGATCATCTTCAGAGGCGCACCACTACGATCAGGAAACACTGTCACATAAGATGTTTTAACAATATGCACTTAAGCTAGGAATAATGCTCACTATATAAATTTTTGTTAATATCACAGTTATTTTTGAGTTTGCCTTAAGCATTCACGACGACGCTTCTTGAAGTGTAGATTTACGTATGATGCCGTTTCTTTTAAGCCTATTTGCTGGGTATTCTGATTGGGATTTCCCACTGCACGCGATATGATGTTCACTTTTCCATACAGTAGCTTTCCTATGTATTTAAAATTGTATTAAAATTTCTTTTGTATGTAAAAAAATGAGTTATTATGTTAAAATATCGTGAGCCAACATTGGGTCATGTTGTTTTTCTCCTTGTGGTGGAAGATGTAATTTATTTCTCTTGATTGTATGTTCTGTAAATATATTATTATATTAATTTTTTATTTTATTCTATCTTATGTAGTTATATATAATACTTTTAGGTTTATTAAGTGTCTAGTTAGGCCTTACCTTATTGTTAGTCGTGTAGTTTACGTGCGTGCTGTGTCGTTTGTACTGTTTTGAAGAGTACTGTGTCACGTATTATATTCTTCCTGTGTTCATGATGTTGAAGAGGGTGTGTTCAAGTGATGTATATTAAGGTGAAACATGTTGTTTTGATTGTTTGTTTCCCTTATTTGTTTCTGTTCATCTATCAATTTATTGTGTTTGTTGTAGTAATATATTTGGAATTCCTCTTTTATGTTCATTACATTACCCTTATTAGCTTTTTTGGTGATTTCCATGACCTTTGAGATTGGTCTGTATTGATGACGATTGTTTAGTATGTGTTGGGCGTAAGCGGATTCAGGAGGAAAACAACATGACCCAAATTGGCTCACGATATTTTAACATAATAACTAATTTTATATATATAAAAGACATTTTAATACAATTTTAAATACATAGGAAAGCTACTGAGTGGAAAAGTGAACATCATATCGCGTGCTGTGGGAAATCCCACTGGGAAATATGGTACACTGAGCACTGATTCACTCCGAGAGACACTTGTGTCAGCATAAGACATGACCTACGTTTGAACGTGAAGCTGTAAGCCTCTGTGTAACAGGTCTATGCATAAACACAGAAACGGGTAGGCCGATCACAACAAAGAAGAACAGGTACTTCGATGAGCATTGTCTAAATAAATTAACGATTTTTTAAGAATACTGTCTTCTGGGATGCCAAGCAAGTAACCAGCTCCTTGCTGTTCATGCTGCTTGGTCGTTTCTGGTTACTTCCTTGGCTTACTTTCGGACCGTGAGCATACAGGCAGCAGGTTTCTCCAAAACTACAGTGAGCGTCTACCGAACTACAGCCCAAGCCATTGCTCAGTTGCCATATTCTCACTGCGGCGGCCCGGCTGTGATTCTCGTTCAAGTCATTTAAGATTTTTGGTGCAAAAAATGTCACTGTGGGCAGATTTTCTCCCGGTAGTTTGGTTTCCCCCCTGTTAAGGCCCATTCCGCCAACTGCCGGATTCGTCAATCATTCAATCAGCCGGGTCTATATACAGTGTGTCCACAAAGTCCCGTCGGGGTTTTGAAAAATTGTGGCCCGCAAATTACGGTTTGCGGCAGATCATAGTGAAACTCTGGAAGCACGGAAAACGTCCAGACGATATTCGAGCCCTTGCCATGTTTTGTGGAGCATGTCCGCTGGAATAGCCGAGATCGCGTTCCTGATACGGGTCTTCAGGTCATCAAGTCCGTTATCTCGTGTTCGGAACAGACTGCTCTTGACGTAACTCCACAGGAAAATCCAGTGGTGTTGTGTCTGGTGAACGTGGAGGCCAATGAATTGGACCGTCTCTGCCGATCCATCTTCCTGGAAACGTCCTGTCTAGGAACGCGCGTACCTGCAGACCCCAGTGACGTGGGAAAAAGACAGTAACGGCTAAGAATGCGACAACTCTGCTCTTGAGGAGGTCATCTCCATACAGTTCGACCAGAACCTACCTCAGGGAGAGAATTGACCAACAAAACACAGAATACAACTGAAGACAAACAGAAATTAGAAGTGAAGTTTTTATTTTATTTGGTGTAGTTACAGTTCATTTTCGTAACCTAATTACTTTTACGATGAGGATTTGTTAGCCACATGCCCAACCCCCAAGCTGGAGGAGCTTCATAACTTGTACTCTTCTCCAAGTATAATTAGAATGAACAAGTCAATGAGGATGAGGTGGCCAGGGCATGTGGCACGAATGGGGGAGACGAGGAATGCGTATAGGATATTGGTGGGAAAGCCAGAAGGAAAGAGACCACTGGGAAGACCAAGGCGTAGGTGGGTGGACAATATTAAAATGGATCTTAGAGAGACAGAATGGGATGTTATGGTATGGATTGGATTGATCTGGCTCAGGATAGGGACCAGTGGAAGGCTCTTGTGAACACGGTAATGAACCTTCGGGTTCAATAAAATGCTGGGAAATTCTTGAGTAGCTGCAGAATTGGCGGCTACTCCTGAAGGGCTCAGCTCCATGTGTAAGTAAGTAATGAAATAGTTACAGTAACCTTTAGAGTGTTTTCATGGTTCGTAGTTACGAAGTGTTATAGTAAGATTGCGTTACAACTAATTGTAGTTCCGCCTGGTGAATACCCAATAAATCGCTTCATTTAATCCGGAACCCATTAATTACCTGTCGCGTTACCAGGATACACGTGACAGTATTGCGTCATCCACTAAACAGAGTAGGTGAATTAGCCGTATTTGTTAGAAACAAATGATCATAACTCCTAAACCGTAAGCAATGGGCCAAAACGGATTGCAGTTTTAGAAGCTCTTATTTATTAAAGTGTTTCACTCGCAGTATGTTCCGATCCATGTCTTACGGTTCAGCCATGAAAGGCGGTTTAAAGTCTGTAAAATTAGGAAAATTATTACATGTTTTGGATAATTATTTAAACAATGTACAAGTTTACTTTGGGAATAATAATAATAATAACATTATTTTTGGATAGATCAGTCTTTATTCTTTCATTTACTTACAACTTTTTATACGCCATAGGCCTCGAGTTATCAGCGGTAACGTAAGAGGTTGGACAAGTGTCACTTACGGATAAATTGTTACATTTTCTGTTACTAACGGTTTTATTCCATTTGCACCATCGTATATTAAAGTTTTCAACGTTAGAATCTCTTGCCCTTGCCGGGAATCGAACCAGTTCAGCCCGTAGCCCATCCGACTGAGCTATCCCGACTCGTGGACTCGATTCTGAGAGCATCGTTAAATAACTCAGTAAGAAAGCCACGTACCAGACTACACGACATCACATCCCAAAGGATGCTGGTGTTAACAGTCACTGATGTGGGAATCTGAAATCCAAAGAAGGATTGAAATCATTACAGGCTGGTTTATCTCAAGAACAACATTTAATGTGTGTGTGTGTGTGTGTGTGTGTGATTTTTTGTGGGGGGAGCACAAGACGAACTGCCGCAGGATCAGGGTTAGCTAGCTTACACACCAAGAACAAGGGTTATAAGTGCTAGGACCTTATTCCACGTGAGGTATGGCGTCGCCCTTCGCGAGAGGTCACCTTCGAATTTAACTCCAAGCCGAAACATTGGCCCCAGCAAGACGGAAAATCCCATGGTTTCCGTCTCGAGGTCAGAAATGAGGACCTCCTAACTACAAGATACAGTGGTTAACCCTGAGTCAGTTGTGGCGAATGCAGAAACAGAGGTTGGGAGGGAAAGTTAAGGAAATCGACACAGAAGGACAGGAATTAGAAAGGTGCTGCAATACTTAGCACTCGCAGGTCGACATTATCCACTCACCTGTGATCTCAAGGTGCGCCTGCCGTCAAACTGCAGTTAGCGAACTGAAACCTGGGACAGAAAACTGAGAAGGCATACCAAGCCAGTAGTACGTCTGTTTGGAGCGTGGAATTTATCCCGGACCTGAGCAATGCTCACTAGCCTGGGTGATTATGAACGAATTATTTTAGTCGCTTTAGACAAAATTTTCTGTGAACCGCTGTGGACAGGGGACGCCGAGATTTTTTTCCTTTGTTTAACAAAGTGTCGCATAATTTTTTTATTATGCTTATTTACAATCTACATCATTTTAGCGTATTAAGTAAATGTGTTGTAGGTGGTTGGCTTGCAAGGGTAACATCCAGTGACGTTTCTCCTACATGTAGTCTATTTTATTAATTGATGATGTCTTGGGGCCATGCTCTGTCCAGTCTTCTTGTCACTGGACCGTTGGTGTATAGCTCTTCTATTAATTCGCTGTCATGGTTTACAGATCGCATAATTTGAAAATAAAATTTGGGGGCTTCCAACCAAACCAGATGAATTTAAGCTCGGAGGGCTGCATGAGAAGTACGCAGTAACAACTTGGAATGGGGGAGCCATCTCAGCATTTGCTTGAAGATGGAAGAAACCCAGGAAAGCCAGTCGCAGGACTTTCCGGATATATGGTGGCATTTAGCCAGCTGCAGGGCAACCAACGAATACAGGGGAGGTTTTCTCAGATATTCCTAACAAATGTTCTGTTGTTCCAACAGTGTCAAGAGCATAATACCCTGGCATAACAATACATAGGTTATAACAGTAGTTTTCAGTAAAAGGTCGCAATAAACACAATTTATTTTTGAGTACAGGTGGTATCAAATGTTTGGCCATCAGAAGGAATGGGGCAGGAACCGACCAATTTTTATGTATCTAAAGTAGAATTCTGTGTATGACTTCTTTTCTCGTCCAGTGAGTAAAATCTAGCCTGTAGAGTTATTTTCCAAGTCTTCCCCTCGGCACATCACAAGGGGTCTGCTAGCTACCGCCTATGTTACTCCACGGTGTCATAACCAAGAATATGACAATATTAATTTTTAGGGCTCTGAAACCCTTGAAAATATTATATTTACAGATAAAGGTAAAGTTAACGTGTACTGCCTGATGAAGACTTTATAAGCCGTAGCATGTAGCACATTGTCGTACTATTAAAACCAATAAACTCATTATGCAGAGTAAGTGTGAATAAGCTTTTTATATAAGATTTGAGGCTTTCACGGCGGTGACTATAAAGAAAGCAGTCTTCTGGGATTTGGCACCGTGTATATGTAGTGTTAACCGAGGTTTCGGAGGAACGTATCGCCTCCATCTTCAGGGTAGAAGAAAAATATAAGAAATCTGCAAGCGAAGAGACCGTGAGAAACGGTCCGTTTGTTTTACTAGAAAGCTGTCTAGAGACATTTGTTTTTACCGACGCTTCAAAATTTGGTGAAAATGCGACACAGCATTATCATTAAATAAATTTGTAGCGCGCATAGCCACTGCCTTATTAGGGTGATGCTTCTCAATGTACGATGCAACAGTTTCCCATGCTTTCAGCATTTCTCTTATTGCGCCAGAAGATTGCTGCTTTGCTGTTACCTCCTCCTCCTCCTCTGACAAACTCTCCTCCACAACTTCTTGCTGTGAAACACAATGCAACTCCAAATCGTGCAAATCGGTGATGTAGACCGACTGTATGTGCGTGCTAGATCAGCCACGCTCACACCTCGTTCTCGCTTTTCAATGAATTTACGTTTCATTTCTACGGTTATTTTTATTCTCTTATGGCTGTCATTTTGCGGCTTTTTCTTTGGGGACATTTTTGCAAGGGTTATTAAACTTTGCACAAAAAATGACAAATAATATGTCTGAACACAAGTTTGGAAAAATGTGTGATCACAAGCGACACTAAGACGCTAGCGGAACGAGCGCTAAACACAGACTGATGTAGCAAGCGCACAATCCGGGACTTCCCCACTCATCACTCGTTATGCGAAACGTCGCTCGTTAAGCGAGTCATTTCTGTACAATTTGTTTTGCTCGTTATGCAAATTACTCGTTAAGCGAGGTTCCACTGTATTTCGTTCAGGGCAGTTATGAGTCAGCCGCAAGTTGGAGGAGTGAGTCCAGAAGAAATTTTAGTTCCGAGGTTCCATAACGATTGAAGGACTCCATAGTGATTTGCAGTGTTAGTCTCTGTGTTGAGATCCGTTGCCAGGATACGACTACTGAAGACAGAGAATCCTAGTGCATGTGCGACGGTGAACTTAAAGTTTGTAAATCAGCAATAGCGCTGTATTAATTGTAATTAAAAAAGAGTGTAACCGAAGTGCTAATAAATACAATCATCCGAAGTAGAACCCGTTATATTCGTCAGGTGTACCACCCTACACGTGACAATACTATGAAACCTTATAGCCGCCGTGCAGGACAGTTCCACGCAATATAGAAACCGGACGCAGCTGTCAGCTGGGTGACGCCCAACATCGTGACCTGTACATGTCTGATTCTCATCCCGGAAACCGGATACCATAACTGAGTTCCTTCGTGGCTTTCCTCAGTCCCTAATACCAAACCTACCACAGCTGCATCCTTCCAGATCCTCGCCATCTGTTCTCCTCCTTCCATTCTATCCTGCATAAGCTGCAGTCCGGGTGTCGTATTCCAGTTCTGTAGGGTACGTTACGTACGTAGAGACGTCATGTTAGTGCGGCAGAGACATGTTAATTAACTAGATGGAACAAAGTCCTTACTAAAGTTGCTCACCCACTTCAGACTTTCGCAGAATTTTTCGGAATCTGAAGGTTCATTACCGCATTAACAAGAACTTGCCAACGGTCCCTATTCTGTGCCAGATGAACCCAGTCCGCAGTTTCCCATCATGTTTCTTTCAGATCCATTTTACTACTATCTTCTCATGTAATCCTAGGTCTTCGTAGCGGTCTGCTCACTGAAATGTTTCCCACAATGCAGTTATGCGCCTTTTTTTTTTGCTTCATGACTTCTACATGTCACATCTCAGCCTCCTTAATTTTCTCATCCCAACAACATTTGGCTAGGAAAGAGAAGCATAATTTGGAGTAGATAATTAACAATATTATTAATTCTGAAAAAAAGAAATTTACCTCACTTTATTTATTTTGTTAAAGTAACTGCCAATTCTGAGTACACAGTATCGTTAAATAAGTAAATAAAAGGTAAAATTGTCCCCGTTCTTAACTACCGTATTTACGCATGTATAGGCCGCGTGCGTGTATAGGCCGCAGCACAATTTTCGGACAGAAATTATAGAAAAAACAATTTTCTTGGAATATTATTACTATTAGTATACTACTAGTATTACTAATTATGAATATAATTTTTTTTAAATGAAGTGTGATTTCGAATATTTCGAATATAAGCCGCACCCCAGTTTTCCTCTTGAATTTTTGGCAAAAAATGTGCGGCCTATACATGCGTAAATACGGTAATTAAACACTACGTCATGAAGGTGTATGGGGGAGTGGATGTATAGACCCACGTTTTCTTGACCTCGGCACTAGTTGGACGTGAGTGGTCAGCTTCACGACCCGGCAGCTTTACCTCCGGGGAAAGAGCCCCCTGTACGAATTGGACAGGAGGCTGAGTGGGCCCCAGACCAGTCTGGACGACATGGAAAAGTGAAAATTCTTGCCCCCACAGAGACTCGAACTCCAACCCCTTAGTCATTCAGCCCGTAACCAGTCGCTATACCGACTGCGCTATCTCGGCTCTTAAATAAGTAAATAAATTTGTTAATAAACGTAAAAATAACAAATGCTTTACTGCATTACCCAGCACAACTTGGGGCAAATGTTTTCACTATGAACAGTACAATTCCCCCACTACTCACAATTTTTCCCAGAGCATTAATTGAAGTGCAGATCCTTTCCTCAGCTTCTACAGCAGGACGGGGGATAACCGGATAGCATACAGTTATGCAAGTGCGGTAAATACATTAAGAAATATAAATATCCCAAGTTTGGTTACTCCTGGTTGTAGGGCTGTGGGTAGTGGATGTGGCCTTCGTGAGATATTGCTCGCGGCCAGTTGAACGAAAGTGTTCACAGTGACGAGTGCGGCAGATAAAGAGAGTACCCGCCCCCTTGAGGCAGCACACCGGATGTGTCACGGTTCCTGTAGGAACTGGTCCACCCTCGACGTGGCCTCATAGATCTTAGACCATGTGTTGATACTATCTCCGAGACAGGATGACCTCAAATTGCATTGTCAGTTTTTTTTGGGGGGGCAATTTAGGGGTGAGAAATGTTACATTCAGCACGTTAGGTTGGCAAACTTGAAGGCACCAGTTAAAGGAATAAGAACTTTCCGCAATCAGAGAAAGCTAACAAGCCCGGATTTCAAAATTATTGGTGATCTCTTGTAGCTACGGCCTCCGTTCTTTCTGGAGGAGGGGGCTATTTTCCATATGCCAATTTCTCAACTATCCATAATTGGTAGGCAGGTAAATTTGTACCTCTGCTTAGCTAATTAAGCACTAAGCCATGAAGGCATATGTG